TATTATCTGTGTACAAAGAAAATAATAACAAAAAATCAACTTGAAAATAACAATTTTCTGTCATAGTATATAATATATTCAGTCGGCACATACGTACTGAATACATCTGAAAAGGATTATTCTTCAACTGCGAGAGCAATATCTAGTCACATGTATGTGATACAAATTGAAAACGAATGTGTTATGGGATTGTTTTTCTCTCTCTTTTTGGAATCCTATGAGTAGCTGCTGTGATCAATGACCCGCGCCGTGAGAACTCAGCGCGGCAACTTCTCCGACATTTGTGTGAAGTGTGTAGTCTAAACAAGATGTTTCAGGCGGTCGTTGTAAGAAATAAGAACGGGGCCATTGCAAATTTCAACGTTCAATCAGGTCCATAATGGCCAGACAGCGTGGAATAGAAATATTCCAGCGTCTCGACGTTTTCGTCCGATGTTTCGTCCTGTAGGTTGTAATCAGTGATATATTCCGTCACGTCTTCTTCACGGCCTTTCTTTCTATTGTTTTGGCCAATCTAGTAACCTCACCCCAAATGTACCGACCCCAAACTTAACCCATCACATGCATGATACAAAATTTTCACGACGAGCCAAATTAATAAAATTCTGTCGGGTTATGAAATTGTTAAAACTCGAGTTGAAACCGAAGGTGGCCTTGTAGTCTGGCTTCAGGGGTCCTTTGCCGCCTCCATCATCAGGACTTACTCATGAATTTACTCATCGCCCTGATGATGGAGGCAGTAAGAACCTCTGAAACGTTGGCAAACGTAGACTAGACTGCACCGTGATACAACTCAGAAGACAGCCGTGAGAACCTCAGATCCTGCGCTTTTTAAACATTTTGCACGTGTTAGCCCGAAAGGAGTTTTTAATTCACATTTCGGAAATAATTTGTGTGTGGTCTAGAACGCTGGCCTTGTAATCTGCGGTCTCGGGTTCGATTCCCGGCGGTACCCGAATTGATAACTTGTGTTGGGCAAGGCCGTGGTCTAGGCAACACGGAGTTTTCCTCCGGGGGCTTCCCCGGTTTCTCCGTGGCATCCCATTCACACACAGAAGAAGGCAATGGCAAACCACTTCTGGATCATCTGCCAAGAACGTATATGAACAGGTCCCAGTCCGAGAAAAGGATGGAAGGATCCTGTTCATATGGACCAGTCCTCAGACAGAACACTAAATAATAATAAGGCATATATATATATAGTGCCCCAAAAATCGTATTCACATGAAATAAATACATTTTAATAAACTAGGCCATTGCATACGTTAGCATTGGCACTTAATGAATTAAGGGGTCCGGTGTAGTTGTCCAAAGTTGTCCGAAATGACCTTCGTTAACTTCGTGCCAGAGTTGACAGCGGTGAGCAACTGACCAGTAAGGTTAACATTCCGTATTGTAACGTGCACACATCTTTTTGGGACATCTTGTACATAGTGTTGTGTTTTCTTTGCGGTACAGGCTGACTTCTCACGTTGTACCTGTACGAGCTTCGACTTGAAAGTGTTAACAGAACGCATGTGACATAGAAGTTTCTCCCGTTGCAGAAAGCGAGGCTCGCACGCATTCGCATCGCCAAGGCGTCCTCTGGGGCTGCCTTCGTCAGTAAGAAAAAGGCCGCCGAGGCTCGTCTCGCGGCGCAGGAGTCAGGCCTGGAGATGGACGATAACTACCACCAGGAGGACATCTTCGAGCTGCAACATCATCACTTACTCCGGTGCCTCGAGAAAACCACGGTCAGTGACATTCCCTCAACAGATCAAATAATTTATAAGCTCAAATCGTATTGACCGAATTACTTTTCAAATGTTGTAACAAGAAATAATTGGAGATGGTTGTTTTCTGGGTTGTTGGGCCGTTGATGTTGACCGACGTTTCAGAGGAGCTTCTGCATTCATCATTAGGACAACGTAGGCCAATATTTTGCAACATCCCAGGAGACAGTCATCTTTATACCTGAAGTCTCGAATTAAAAATAATTGCTCAATAAACTGCATAATATATATTAGTGAGAATTTTCAAGGTTCAAGTTTAATTCGAGCGGAGTTTTCACAAACAGCTTTCTTGAATGTGTTTCTTGCGTATTTTTTGATGTGGACACTTGAAGCTGTGTTTATTCTTTCGTCGGTGCTGTGGAAAACATTTGACATGATTTTTCATCAAGTACGAAGGATATACAGCGTGACAATATTAAAATGCTACCTGTTCGTAGTAAAAATGGGAACAGTTCAGTGATCAGACACATGTGACGTGCCTTTTCTGAATTCCAATTATTTGAAGTAACTGTATGAGGCTTCTCACATGTTGCTGTATTTCCCCAGATAGAAATGTCTACGGTGATTATGAAATATAATCTGGTAAGATATGTTTAAATATGTGATTTTTTTTAAAAAATAATAAATTTGCACTGTGGGATTGGTAATACGAGGTATACTGATTGAAACTAGAAAGTATCGTCACAAACCGACTGTGATATTGACAGAAATATTTGTTGCTGTTTTTTTTTTTCCGAGACGTGTGATTTTGAAACAGATTTTGTAAAATGTATAACTTCGGATTTCGGGTCTAACTGCGTCGAGTGTTTGGTTTTAAGTAACGTTTTGACGCCTACTCGTTCTATATAAGGCCTCCAGAACCCGTTCCACCACTTATCCACCTTGAAGATGGCAGCTGAAATTTTTCCGAAACTTTGGTTAACATCAAACATTCGACGCGGCTCACGCCTACGGACAAAAAAATTCTGTAAAATGATTTATTTTATTCAAATCATTTATTATTTTGAGGAAAAGAAAGTGTAACTCCCAAAATACTGTTTATTTGTGATTTATTCAAAGACGCAGTCAGCAGTTCAGTTGTAATTTATTGTGTCGAATGACGGGTGATTAATGAATGGGTGATGTATTTTGAAAAGATCTGCAGTAAAGAAGGAGTCGTGGCATCACTTATGATAGCAAGACTCGGGGCTGAGATTTTAACTTCGGAATGCAAATCAGAGTGTTAACAACTTGCCCATTTCTGTAAAACAGATTTAAGTGCGTGGGTTATATTATCGCCGCACAAGAAAACTCTGGTAACTGCTGGTGATAAATATCTTATAAAATTATTTTGATCAGCTGCGCAAAACAAGAGATCATTACAGATTTAATCGATATCACAGCAAACAAAATGTTTTACGGAATGTGTAGATTTTGTCCTTCGTAATGACGAACTGAGAGAATTTCTTGTTCTGCGTTGTTTGTAAGAGAAACAACGTTGTCGCGTTTCCAAACTGATTGTTTTCCCATCCATGACAAATCAGTCGCTGTCAGTAAAAAAAAGACAGACCATAGCTTCTGCTTTTGTTCACGAATGAACTCTCTTTGTGTGGCGCTGAGTTCCAATCTACCGATCGCCAGCGAAACCAAGGAACAGTAAGTAGTCTGCGTCATCGGTTCTTCCTATGACTCCGACGTAGAAATCGTATTTACCTCAGAAAGCAGGAAACACAGTTTACTTCACAAAACAAATACGAAAAACACAAGCTCATGTCCCTGTAATGTAAAATAGTCTGGAGAACTCCATTTATATTTTATTTTCCCTGTAACTTTTCTTATTGAAAAGAAAATGGAACACTAGAGCAACTGAAGAAGAACAATTGTGCTGTTGGAATCAGAAATTACAGTTCGCAGTTTAAGTCTATCAAGTTTCCCATCGTCTTCTTAATGATCACCGTCTTACAATTCCCAAGTTGCTACACCCTGTTTTATGAAAATATTGGAGTTACTGAATTTTGGTGAGATTTCGGCTTTTAACAGCGACAACTTTGAATGAAGATGGCTGTCTTCTGGGATGTTACGTAGTGTAGTCTGGTAGAAGTTTACGGGTGTTACAGAGGCGCTTACTGCCTCCTTCATCAGGACGATGACCCTTACACGACAGCCGTGAAGATCGAGACAGGACGTTCATCCGAAAGGTTTGTATCTACCTGTACCTACGAGTCTACACGGCGTCATAACACGTAAGAACAACACTGTCATCTTCACCGCCTTGAGAATGTCTCGTCCCAGAAGACAGTCATCTTCGTAGCTCGGTTGCATTGTGTTTTTTATTACAGGACCGAGAATTCGTGGAGATGGAGAACCCTTACAACGGACAGCCGAAAAGGCCGGGGTCCCCTTCGCCGCTGACGAGCCCCGTTCACTCTGCAGCCAGCCACCCTGGACTTCTGCACTCTTGCTGTGGTCGCTGTTGTGGACAGCGCTATCAGGTATGATAACACCGAGCTTATTTTGCGTGACAGTCTTTCCTTTAAATGCTACTTTTATTCGTTGTGAAAAACGACAATATTAAGTTTGTAAGACTTGAGGTTCTCACAGCGGTGAATATGAAGATTTCTGTCTTCTGGGTTATTGCGCTGTGTAGTCTGGTCGATGTTAACCAACGTTTCAGAGGTCATACTGCCTCCGTCCGACGGAGGCAGTATGACCTCTGAAACGTTGGTTAACATCGACCAGACTACACAGCGCAATAACCCAGAAGACAGAAATCTTAATATTAAGTTTATTTACGAATGCCTACGAGTGCTTGGAATGTACGTCCACATCTACGTTATAAATTACTCATTCATGTAAATTTTTGTGAGTCAAAAACTGATGCCATGTATCATTCAAATTGGTTTTCTCGACTTTGGTTTTGCAAAACTTTAACTTGTTTAGTGTCTTATATCACAAATTAAAATTTGGGCATTAGAATCTTAAGTCACACATTTGAGAACTTTGGGTTTAATAAGATTTTAAATTAGGTATGTGGTTTATCCTCTTGTTCATCAACTGATACCACTTCTACATGTTTCTCTACTCTTCTTAAATCTTTCTGTGTTCCTTCTCTACCCTGTATTGTTTCTTTATTTCAGTTTCCTTTATGCAGTATTTATTAAGAGTTTGCTTTAATTATGATAAGTCAAGGTCGAAGTTTGTACGTTAAGACAGTAAAATTTGTGCCCATCCGAGAAATGACGAACATTTCTTTAAGTCAAAAATTACTTTAGTGGTTGTTAATTTATACAGAATGTCATTTCCAACTGCGCTCTCTTCTAGAAGTATTCAGGAATGGATGAAAAGGCATGCACCTAAAAATTCTTCTAAATTATGTCGTCCTACTTCCCCCCCCCCCCCCCCCCCCCCCGGCCTTGTCGTTGGAAATGACTTCTAATTTATTTGTGTACACGTAACTTTAATTTGTTATAAGTTACTTCGCCCAACTTTTTGGAAAATTTGCGAACATGTAACATTTTTTTTTCATTGCGTTTGTTTTTAATACTATTTTATACGGTGCCCATTACATTCTGTAAATTTCAAAAGTAAACATTACATCGAAGCTGAGATTCTGTGCCATGGAATATTTTCTAGTGACATGGTTTCTATCGGACATTGTGTCCTAGGGGCTTTAATTCACTGTAAAAACATGTACTTGGAGCGGTTGTTTAGGTTGGACATTTGTTCACTATGGATCCAAGGTTATTCATTAAAATAACTTTGAATTGAGGGACCAGGTTTTATTCCCAGCAGGAGACCTCAGACACCCTCGTTATCGCTACTTGCAATAACTGCTCTAGAATTCCAGAACACTGCCTTTCACGAGGAGAAAATTTGACGAAACTTTTCATTAAATAACAGCACCGAACGTCACAATTGAGTGGTTAGCACTCCCATCATCATCTTATTTGGCGAGAATACTTACGAGGTTCAATTCTGAATCCCCTCCATCAACACTGTGAACTGTTAACAGCATAACTAACTAACTAACTAGATGGCTTACGGAACCCGAAGGTTCATCACCGAATTAACCAAAGCCCTCCACCGGACTCTGTCCTGGGCCACCAAAATCCAGTCTCCTTCAACTCCTATCTCCCATAGATCCCGCCTGAGATTATCCTCCCATCTACGTCTAGGTCTCCCCAGAGGTCTCTTCCCCTCAGGGTTCCCGACCAACGCCCGGTGGACACCTCCTGTCCCATCCATGCGAGCCTAGGCTACTACAAAGTAAATCTGTAGTTTGACAGCCACAACTGATCACAGGCAGTGAAGTGAGAATTTCATTTTATACATTTTCTGAAAGTGAGTGGAATTTAGGGACTTTAGTAAGCAAAATGAAGGTATCCATGGCCCAATAATCGAGCGCTGTGTGTAGCTCCTTTACGGAATATTGCAGACGGGTGCGTTCAGGAATAACAATAACATGTACAGAGCTGTTGCTCTGTTTACTAAATATCGGTATTCCGTTTTGGTTCAGTGACATCTGGCTTGGCGCGTATCCCAAAATACTACGTGAATCTGGCTGGTTCCAATGCCAGTCAAGACAAACCGAAACCTACCTACGGTTCGTAACGATACATTTATTAATTGAATAAAAATTACTTGGATATTATCCATCGTCTAGTAAATATAAAACGTAAAAAACGACGTTTCGGAGATGGGACTCTATCTCCGTCTTTAGGTTCCTACACAGTTGGGCCCACTAGATAGAGCTAATCCCTATCTCCGAAACGTCGTTTTACGTTTTATATTTACTAGACGATGGATAATATCCAAGTAAATTTTTATTCAATTGACTCTTCACCATCGTCAAGAAGTTTTAGATTTGAGACACATTTATTAATAATTCGTAATGAATTTTGTGAATTTGTGTTTAAATCCGGGCGTCAGTTTTCTTATATTATTTTTTACTTTCATTTTCGATGAGGTTGTCTTTTGTTTATTAATTTAATCGTTAGGATCCACTTCTTTCTTCTGTCGTCTGTCTTTTCTTATTCTTCTTCTTCTTCTTCTCTGTCCTTACCTTTTATCTTGTGTCTTGACTTCGTCTGTATTTACCCTACTTTTCTCAACATCGTGTATGCGACATAATATCTGATATTGTATATTTAATTTTTATATACGTGTAAGTGCTATCCCATAAGTCACGCAGCACCTGGAATTTATAAACTGTTCACACCTACGCACACCCATGATTTTTTTACATGTAAAATAATTAAATGTATCTTAATGTAGTCATATTTTAACCTCAAGTCTAGAAAATATAACTTTATTTTTGAAAGTTATATATTTAAAAAAAATATATTAAATATCCGGATGATTTGATGTCCCAACTGCATTACAGAATAATTTTTAACACTATTACATTTGACGTTGTTTAAAATGTTATCAGCACTGTACTAATCGTGATATTTTGTTAATATTTTATAGTACTAATTCATATCCACGAGCTCTGCGATGTAAAAATATATTAACATTGTAATATAAACGATAATAATTCAACAAAAATTACTGAACATTCTGAAATTAATGCAACAGTATTTGAATTCGTGAAAAGTATGGATTCATGTAATTTATTACACACGAATATCTTAATATCACAGTTTTAAAGTCGTATGATTAAATTATGCTTAGCAGTTCATAACATTTTTTGGTACAAATAAAATTAACCTCAAGACTGCAGATCGCTTTATCGACGTGACTCGTGGATATTGATTAGGGATTTTACTGTAAAATATGTCCCGACGGAAAATTTCAGGATCTATTTAACTTGTCATGCTGAGAGCATTCCATTAAACGTGCTATTTGTGTGATAGTCGCATTATCCTGTTCTTATTAGTAAGTTAACTGAGCGTACTATTTTTTTAAACCAATCAAAATTCTCTTTAAGTACATAATGGGTATTTCATAAAATGTTATTTGTTCCTGATTGCCCGTGATATTACATTACGAGGTCACACTGAAATATAGGGGATTATTTCTCATCTCCTGTCCGAGTTGTGAACAGGAATCGGATAATGACAGTACGATTCTATTGTGAAAAGTTTCCACGACCTTTAAAAATGTAATAGAAACTGAATATTTACCGAGAAATCTTAGCGATGTTCTTTTGTCGTGTGGACGCATGACTTATGGATATGACAAGATTTCTGTGCTCTGATGTGTTCAATCTTAATATTTCCTGTTCTGTTCATGTTGCATTTCTCTTTGTTATGCCCGGCTCTGAACAACATTAAGGTCTGTCTCGATTCGTGCATACGAAAGAACTTGGTCTTCATAAGACGTGTTTTCTGTGTCAATCTAAACTTTCTGTATCTGTGACTCTGATCGCTCTCTCAGCTTTCACTTTCTATCGCTATGACATTTGTTGTATTGTAACTTACAGTGTGTCAACTAATTGTTTGTATTCTTTTTTCTTATTTGTAATCGTTTTAATAATTACGAAAATGTAGAGTTTGCTATAATTATTTGTTTTAAATGTGGTAATATTTTGAGGACGGGCCTTAACTATATTTTACAACACGTGGTAAGGTGCGAAAAGTTTCTGTCTTGATAACGTGTCATAAGATGAATGGACGTTTTGATGTATTACTATTTTATCTTTATCTATGTTCCGTGTAATAATTATTTATTTGTTTCAGTACAACATGACTGTTGATCACTAAACCCTTCACGACTGAATAATTAATTGTGCAATTCTTAAACTGCAGTATTGTTTGTTTATGACTTAATAGACTATTATCTTTTGTAGCCACGATAGATGCACAGTATTGCACAGTTAATTTGATTTGCCAATCAGCAAAGCCGGATTTGCGAGTGGGTGATTCTGTCGTCATATTTTATCATCTCTTTGCTTTCACCTTTCTCTTTACCAGGCTGCACCACTCGATCACCGTTCTGCCTAATTTTCTCTCCATCGCCTACTTTTTCAGAAGTGTTATTTCTTCATTGGTGTCCTGCACTTGTTGTTTAATCACGTAAATGTGAGCTAACATACACGTTTGTCTTGTCTCTGATTCATTAAGAAACTGATTATTATTTTGTCGAACTCGGTTTTGTCGCTGTGTAGACTCGGACGTAGATATCAGAATTTTTGGGGAATCATTCTGCCTTCATCTTCAGTCCTGGAGAAGTAGACTCTGTTAAACCTTGAATATGGTGTCTACTTACGAGTCTACACGGCTTCACAGCCCAAGAAAACATCACAATCTTACCGCCTTGTAAAACATAAAATTTCACATGATTTTGGTGGATGGGAATAATATTTTCTTACTATTGTCAAAATCATTTCTAGATCTTAATCCTCATGATTTTGTAATACTCATTCTTCGTACTTAATGAGTATTTTTTTTAACCTACGTCACGTCTCATTGAAAAATAAATGGTAGATATACTACGCATTGAGGGAAATTGATAATATCCCCAAGAAACAACTCTCTAAAAACACTTTAAA